TTTCTGCAATTTTGCCTATAAAACTTTTTGCTTCAACTTAAGTCAGAGTATTTTTCAATAAAAAGTTGATGCGTTGTGGTAACAGATAAACTTACTTCTAAATATGTGACTGGAACTAAGGTGTAATGGGAATCGTTTTTTGGAAATAAGCTGATAAGATCTGCTATCTTCACAATGATTTCCGGATGTAGTGTTTGCAACGGCGACTGTTGTTTTAAACACTTTTAGTAAGACGCTGTAAGAACTATTTCGATATTCCAAGTAGATTCAAAAAAGCACTCCGACAGAGTTAATCCCACTTGAACTCTTAAGCCCACATTTCGTGATATACCAAAAATTGTACAGAAGGACCCATTGCAGTTATCATTACACAAGATATAGTCGCCTTCGCTGGGACTGTAAATCACGTATTCGAGGTGATCGTCGTAAATATGTCGGATCTTTGGAGAGAGATATAAAAGACAATCCTAAAAATTTTTGGCACTTTGTTAACATGAGTAGAAACAACTCGAACTCGCCAAGTGTTCTGAAATGGAATGGTAAAACCATAACCGATTTACCTACTATAGTGAATTTATTAGCTGACCATTTCGAAACTATGTATAGTCGTACCTCATTCGGTGCCTCCAATAGTCATCATATCAATCCTGTTATGACTGGGGTTTCTTTCGGTATCTTTGAATTTTGCTATGGCGAAATGGTGGAATCCTTCAATAGATTTCATAGTTGTTCACGGTGATTCTTCACTTTATATCCAGACTGATCCCGAATTACCCATATTTTATCAAAATAATGTAAACCCTAGAGTGCAGATAATGAAAGCTTTTATGCCTGTTGATGAACATGAAGTATCTATAATAATTAATAACATTAAAACTGCAGCGGTGGGTTCTGATGGTATATCAATCTGGATGATTGACTTGTGTACCCCTTTTCTCATTCCTTATATTACTCACGTAATAAACGCTGCTATTCATCAATCAGTTTTTCCGGATGCCTGGAAGATGGCTGAAGTAATTGCGTTACCTAAAGTATCTTCCCCTTCTGCCCTAAGGGATTTTAGACCGATCAGTATCCTACCAGTAATGTCAAAAATTTTAGAGAGAGTCTTGGAAAAGCAACTTAGAGCACACTGCGAAAGGTATAGTATACTGCCAGATCAACAATCTGGGTTTCGTTCGGGTTTCAGCTGCGCAACAGCTTTATTGAACCTTACTGATGATGCATTTGCTTCTAGAGAGGCCGAGCAAGCCGCACTTTTGTTATCGTTGAACTTCACCAAAGCATTTGATACAATAAATCATAATATACTTGCATCTAAACTTAATTATTTTGGTCTTGGAAATCAAGCTGCAATTTTGATAAAGTCTTTTTTGTCGGACAGGTCTCAGGTTGTGAAGATTGGTCAAGAATGGTCAAGTATCGAGCGCTCTGTCTGTTACTCGTGGAGTCCCTCAGGGGTCCATTTTGGGGCCACTATTGTTCTCTATTTATACATCTGATTTTGACCAGGTTCTTGAGCATTTGCAGATTCACTTGTATGCAGACGATACACAGCTTCTGCTGAATTTTAATCCAAATAATTGGGTTGATGCCTGCATAAAATTTAACTAGATATAGCATTATTTTCTGATGTTGCGAAACGCCATGAACTTGTGCTAAATCCATTTAAGTCTTTTGTTCTTCTGTTTTGCGGTAGTGTCACAAGGAGAGCGATTAAGCCTTTGATATCCGGTCAATTTGTGGTGGATGGCGAACCTCTTACTGTTTCTGATGATATAAAAATTTTAGGAGTCACATTGGATCATCAGTTGAGGTTTGAGGAGCATGTGGCCAGGTGCTTGAGGGGTGGGTATGGCGCCCTGCGTCTCTTGTATGCCCATAGGGATGTCTTAAGTAAAAAATTAAAAATTATGCTTTGTGATAGCTTGGTTCTAAGCAAATTAAATCACTGCGACGTTGTTTATGGTCCAAATTTAACGGAGGCGAGTGGGCGTCGTATCCAGAACCTCCAGAACGGTTGTCTGAGGTTTATTTACGGAATTCGTAAATATGACCATATTAGTCATAAGTTGGCAGAGACTGGGTGGTTGAACATGAAGAACAGACGTAAACTGCATGCATCTTGCGTTTATTATAAAATTATTAAAAGTCAGCGGCCTCCTTACTTGCTGCAACGCCTATCTTTCAGAAGCGATGTCCATAACATTAATATAAGGAGGAAAGATGTATTGACGGTACCACGCCGCGCCTCGCACCGATCCTTTTCCTACCAGATAGCTAAAACGTACAATGATCTACCGAAGAACCTTATAGAATTGAACTGTATTTCGTTCAAGAGTAAATTAAAATCCTCCCTCCTGCTTGAGTCATCATGATTTTTTTTTTATTATATTCTGAGTTACTAATGTATCGCTTTATACTGACATGTCGTCGTATTTTGTTATTTTGTTTTTTTTTCATTTTGTTATTAGTATTGTTAAAAACATTCTCATTTTTGCTTTATATATACCTATATTTTCTATATATTCTGGATTAAGTGGAAGAGCAGTTGGTTAATAACCAAACTGAACTTCGTCCAGAAAATAAGTCTATTTTCTAAGAGTGTATTATTATTTTCTTTCCTTTTTTTTGCGACTTATTAATAAAGGCATTATTATTATTATTATTATTATTATTTAAGGCAAAAAATATAACCGGGCCAGATGGCATTCCTGCATTTATAGTTAAAGACTGTGCACCTGCATTTCTGTGACCACTGCAACATATTTTCAATCTAATTGTAAGGAACTCTGAATTTCCGGAAACCTGGAAATTGAGCAGAATTTGTCCTGTTTTCAAAAAAGGTGATAGATGTTGTGTGATGAACTATCGGCCAATAGCCATTATAAATAACTTCGCGAAGCTGTTTGAACAAATCATGGCAAACAAGATGGAATTCTACACCAAAGCGCGAATGTCTGAACATCAACATGGTTTCTGCAAAGATAGATCCACAGCCACTAACCTGTTGAGTTTTACCGAATACGTATCTAGGGCACTAGATCGCCGTGGACAGGTGGATGTCATATACACGGATTTCTCACGGGCCTTCGATTGTTTAGACCTCTTCTTGTTGACGGAAAAGTTGGAGAAGTTTGAGTGTGATTGTTCTCTTACACGGCTTCTGTCATCCTATGTGTCAAATAGAAGACAATACGTCGAGTTTGCTGGTATTAAATCGAGAAAAATAAGCGTTACTAGTGGCGTACCTCAAGGATCCATACTTGGCCCTCTACTGTTCAATATTTTTGTAAATGACTTACCAATGAGCTTTAGCACGAATGCCCTATTGTACGCAGATAATCTGAAGTTGTTTACTACTATTGGTAGTGAACAGTGTACTACTATGTACTACTATTGGTAGTGTACTACGAATAGATTGATTCTGAATACTTCCAAATATCAGGTAATGACATATAGCCAGAACGTAACACCATCAATTTTGATTATGAACTTGGGGCTGACTGCCTATCGCGCATTTTTGTGGTGAGGAATCTCGGTGTGTGGTTCGACCCTGGTTTGTCTTTTAATTTACATGTTGACAAGGCGTCGACGAACGCCCTCAGAACACTTGGATTTATAACAAGATTTATAACACAATAATAAATCTCTACTTTACACTCGTAAGAAGCAAACGTGAGTATTGCTGTATTGTTTGGTCACCATCTTATTTAAGGTACATCATCACCATCGAGAGGGTATAACGTAAATTTATTAGATTCATGCATTTCCTGGACTTTGGTCATTATCCGCCTCGAGGGAAATTGAACTATCCATATCTCTTACATCGTTATGGACTCCAGAGCCTTGAAGACAGAAAGAAGTGTATGTCAGCAACGAAGTTTTTACTACCAATCGCGGTCACACAAATATTGGACTGAATTCCCCATTCAACAAATTAATGCGAGCTGCTAATACGACCGAATGTGTATCATTCTTCGATGCTTAACTTAACAGTTTGTTGAATTGTTGTTATTTGTTTTTTCATTGAATGTGTTTTCTTTCTTTTTCTTTTTGTTTGTATACATTTACTTATTGTTATGTCAATTAATGCTTAATTATGTTGTTTATAATATTATCTCTCTTCTTTCTGTTGGGATAATAAAGTTATTATTATCATATACAAAAGATGACGTCGTCTGCTTGCATTTGATGGAAACTACGCGATGTCTGGCAACGTATTTTCTTCTCTTCATTCATTGAATTATACCTTAAATGCTTATAATTAAATTCAGCCCTTAAAACCTTTGTTGAAATTTAATTAACATCCAAGTAATATAAAGTTTATATACTTAAAACCTTGAGATTAAAAAAAATATGTAAACACACATTACCTACTAATAAGAAACTTAAAGAACTTAAATATTTTCGTGTTTCCCACATTCCTCAAAAACACCCCTAAAATATAAAATGCACCCTCCACTACATAAACAAACCTAATCATATTTTAGTGAAACCCTTTTCCCAACTCACTCCCTATATTTTTTTCTTTGCCCCCTCAAAAAAATAGGTCACAGAATATTTTATCTCGAATTTCGACAGCCAGTAAAAGCTGTGTTTTACGAACCTATTCGGTTATAGCTGTTCGTTGCTCGGGGGTTTCCTCCCATTTTTTTTGTATAGATAGGCAACAACTGGCGAGGGCGCAGTTATCCAACACGCGCTAAATTTATGCGTATGCGTAAACAACGTGCAAGAAGTCGTTGTATTTTCGATCGACGATCCCAAAACATACATCCTGCGAGCGCGAATTTAGTCATAAACTCTCCGGTTGTGTTTATTTATTCTCCGGTCGTGTTATTATTGTTTACTTTGGAGTCCGAACGACATAACTCTGCGTGTTATAAAATTACACGTGGTGTATTAGAAAATTTGTGTTATTTTATTGGTCGTTAAAAAGTTTTGAAACGATTTAATATTTTATTACATAATTTACAATTTTTTTTTTAAATTCTTACCTTCAGTTGAATTTAACACATGGACGTTGATTGACGCAGGTAAAGCGTTTGAGGGATTACAAGTGTAGTTTCCATCGTGACTCTTGTCCGCTCCAGACACCTGAAGGATACTCGAGGACTTCTCCAGTAAAACGTAAACACCGGGGTCGTAATTGATCATTTTGTCTTCGTGGTACCAAAACACGTACAAAGGATCTTCTGTAGAATTTTTAAACGTGCAAACAAGACGGAGTTGAGAACCAGCGTTTAAATGAATATCCGGGGATCCTATTATTTCAGCTGTTGCCTCTGTAATTAATAGCAAAATTAAAATAAATATTTTGTTATTACAATTTTTCTTCATTCATACCCGCCACTTTGAGTTCAATAAAAATGCTTGTTGGTGGGTGAGTGGAAACTTGACATTCATAAAGACCAGCGTCGGACCACTGCACCTTTTTGATGTGAAGACCCCAGTTTTGCAAGTGCCTCACGTGCTCCACAAGGATTCGCTCGTCTGCGCTGTAAGTGTTGAGACCGACGGTCAACAACGAAGGAGTCTCTACTTTACGAAGCCAAGAGACCTGGAAAAAGGGAACGTCATACAGAAGTTGGAGTGCACGAGACGATCTCGAATTACAATTCCAAGAAAAGGCAATTTTCAACAGGAGAACTAAATGGAACTAAAGGGAGAATTGAAAAATAAAGGGAGGAGATGAATTTTCAAGATATCTAAGGGACTAATTGACCACTTATGTTTGAATAGCACAGCGTGTATTCGTAATCTATTCAAGTAAACCCATTCTTGGAATATACGAAAATTTAAATTTATTTGTAGAGATCTTTCTTGATACTTACCACACCATTACTGAATTTTTTAACGATGCAAGGTAACGTTGCTGTTCCCCCAAGTTGAACTTCAACTATTGTTGAGTTTTCAGTAGCAAATATGTTGCTTCTATCTACACTAACGACGTTGCCATTTCCTATCCTACCCTTGGAATTTTTTGGCAATTCATAACTACGTTTCAATCGATGATAATTCTCTGAATCTGTAACCAAAAATATAATAATCCTAAAAAATAAATCAAACAAAACAAAATTAATGAAATAGGTCGAAAACTAAGCGGGATCGGAAACAGAATAATGAATGCAGAAGCGCATAGAACAAACTTTCAGTTGCAAATACCAGAAATGGAAAAATTATTCGTTACATTTCTGCTCTACGCAATTTTCACTTCGCTAACAAGCAAAATGAAACATACATGCGATATTTTTAACAACAACGTTACTTTTATTCAAAGAGAACTGTTGTGGTTTTAGTTCAAATTTTACCTGGAAAGAAACAACTTTTAAAAATTATTAATGAGAAATCCCACATTGGGTTTTATATGAATTTCGCGAAAGGCCCCTCCATTAAGAAATGTGGTTATTAGACTTCGATGTAACAGGAGATTCCCGCTAGCAGACGTATAAACATAAGCATTATTATGACTGTTGATGAATGCAAATATCCTGCTATTGTTTTTAGTCAAGAGATATAATGCTTTGTTTTTTAAAATTTGATAGCAAAGTTATGAACCCAGACGAAATGTGACCTTAAAAAATCTTAGTCATAACACCAAGATAACGAAACCAAACAATTTAATGTAAAAAAACCTGCAAACATTTTTTCCGGATGGAAAAATTATTTTTTCTGTTTTTAAATGTAAGAAACAATTTAAAGAAATTTTATTTTCGGAAAAGTACTATGTATATAAACGATCATTTGTATCATGATAAAGTTGATGGGGCGACTAGGGTGCATTAGATGTCGAGAAAGTTTACTGTTGACTCCGTTTGGCAAGATAGCCTGCTAACAAAGATGATCGAGGCCATCCTGTAAGGATCCTAGTCAAAGGCACGACTTCCTTTCTGAAGATTGGGTACTTCCAGGTTAAAATGGGAGAGAAAGTGTCCAGGGTAAAAAAAATGAAAAAAGGTCTGCTGCGGGGATCTTGATGCCATCACAAGCCAGAACTGCACCGACACTTCGAATGCTGAACTGGTGCTGTAAATGATGGCGAAATGCATTGAATACGCAGAAGAAAAGCTACTTGAATGTCTCGAAGAACATATAAATCAAGAAAGAAAGCTGCTAAGAAGCCAAGCATTGTGAAAAGAACGACAAATATGCTATACTTTGTTTTAAGAAGACTTGCAGCAATAACAAATATAAAGATAATAGAGTCATTCAGTACTGAATACTGCTTCAAGACGCAGACACACCGGAAGCAATAAAAAAGAAAGCGGTTTATGAAATGCTAAAAGAAAAATGTCCAATTTAATGAAAAGCGTGAAAGAAAATAAAGATCTGTACATAGTAAGAGTAGGACAGAAAGGAGGACAAGAGGAGCCGGCGATTCAACCTCAATCCGACATTACCCTGCTGTTGATGGCAGAGAGTTTAGTAGCAAATTACCAATTCCCATACCTCAATGTTACCTCAATGTAACCGTCGGCACACTGCAGATAATAAACTAACGTCATAATCGAAATAGTTTTGGTATTAAATGTTTGCCAACATTGGGAATCAAATCAATACCTACCCCCCATTCTTCATTGCATCTTCAAAAGTTGCCGAGATTATTGTCGGCAAGATGGAAATTGATCTGTACATTTTACAGTTGTTGAGGATTACTATAAAACTTATTACCTCAACGTCATCATATTATTCATTATTCAGCATCGATAAAAATAAAAATCATGATTAGAGTCCGAAGAAGATACAAATTGTTAAAAAAATGGTGGGATATTTGTTTCTATCAGTTTTGCACAGATTTGCAGTAACTGTACTTAACATGAAATATGACTCAACAGTTGGAATAATCTGAAGTGTTATTCAGAACTCCTCAATTTCTTTCCATAAACTCCCAAGGATTATGATTACTTAAGCAGCTAAGAATTACGAATACTTAAACCGAAATAAAATTTCCTAAGACACTGAATAGTGTATTGGAGCCACTCGAGATTGAAGATGCCCTGTCCGGAGTGAACGACAGCTAAACAAGAATTTAGAATACAAAAAAAAAGACCACCAAGTGTAATGGCTGGTACGACGAAGAATGTAAAAAGCCACCGTTATAAAGAATAACGCATATTAGTAATGCAGAATACAAAAACGCAAAACATAACACGGAGCTTTTTAAACAAGAGAAGACAAGATAAACTGATTCATAAAAGGAAGAAACAAGAATACGTGAACAAGCATAACAAGGAACAAGAAAGTGTGTAATGTGTCTAAAAACTTTGAGATACATCAAGGCCTAAGACAGGTTGTGTACTTTTCAACCTGACACTCGAGGATGTTACACGAAGCTCTGGCATAACAACGTCTGGTACAATTATTAACAGGAGTGTACATCTAAATCATGTACACAATATGACCTAGATACTCACAGTACGCCCGTAATACGCAGAAAATCTGAACATCATATATCCTAGAGATGTTAGAGATCAACCAAATATTGTTAACTTCGTCAAAGTATGCCACCTGAGATGGGTGGAGAATGAGCGAACAGGAAATAATATGAAAAATAGTAACATAAATACACCAGGAACAGCGAAAAAGGGGACCAAAGAAACTTAAAAATCAGGGGATAAAGACGTATTAATGTTTTTTGACAATATTATCTTTGATCAAATCTTCGTCATCATACAAAAACTGTTTGTTGTACTGTGTAATAAACTCAGAGAACAGCACGCATGTGCGATTAAATTTGCTCAACGTCTTTTATCTCAACTTAATCGTTTTGAAAAGAGAAAAAATTCGGTGAGACATGAATGTGCTACCGACATGTTAAAGTTTTGGGATATCTTGTTAGCGGTGAATTTTTGTCTGAAAGAAGAACCATAAAGTGTAAAGAAAGAGAGTTTCCAAATTTCGATGTGTTACCATTCTCGAGCATATTATTAGCTAAATTATTAAACACATAACTAATATAGAATATAATAGGAAATAAAACGAATTTAATTACTTCTTTTTTGCATTAGAGAAGTAGGTAGTTTCAACTAACAATATCAGACAGGCCACTGTTTGTTAATAAGTAAAAAAATTGTTTGCATTTACTAAGGGGTTCATGGTTAATATTGATTACTTGGCTATGTAATGATACATAAAACTTCCACGGAAACAAGTACGTATAAAAAACTTTTTGCAATAGCTTAATTTGAATTGCGAATTTTCGTCATATTCTATAAGTTTACCTATACACTATAAAAGCAAAGAAAAAAACGGAATTGCCACTTCAAATAAAAATAGATCTAAAAATTCCCGTTTGACCCTCGTCAACCCGATGAACTTTGAATGCAAAGTACATAAAAAAGTATGTGAAAATTGAGCTCAATTTTTAACAACCCCATTCGAAATCTATTTTCATCAGCTTGCGTAAACGACTTTTGAAGCTCAAATTACAAAATTTTAATAATTGGCAGATTATTTTTGGTGGTACAGAATGTAGCTTTTCGCTACTTCATTAGAAATCGAACAAACTTGAGAAGATGTTATATGTATAAATAAGATAATTTTATATAATTTTTAACACTTAAATTAGTTATTTCTAGACACTTTTTTACAACTTTTCATATTTTTAAACAATTTCAACGGTGGTAAGCTTACGGCAGTCGCTGTGGCGTTGTGGTGTGTTAATAATATTTTCTTGTCAGAAATATAAATCCGTTAGGAATGACCTTCATTTTGAAATTTAACAGACACATGGCTAAATCTTTTTGCGGGGTGAATTGGAAGGCAGAGTAGGGTGTAAGTACATAAAATCTCAAAAGTAGTGAGAAGGAGTGAAGGTGCTCCGATTTAGGCCGCGGGGAAGAAAAACGATTGCTACCGATTTACCCATATTAATGGATAAGATGTAATTCGAAAAATTGGTGGCCCTTAGCTCAAGAAGAAAAGAGTGCTTCAGAAGAGAACAGTACGTTAACACCTTTAGGATGATCGAACGGAAATATACAATCGTGATCAGATCCGCCTACCACACAGTGGCAACAGATATGGTCGAGGCAGTTACAGACGGCATCGGTGAATAAAGGAATTGCGAAGACAGATATACACCAGCAGGTTATGGAATGGACATTTGCAGGTAATTTTGCACAAAGCTAGACTATCCCTGTGAACTTGTCGTAGCCTTTGTGGAGAAAATTGGGGTCTTACCCCTGAAAGACTGTACTGGCTCTATGTGACTGTGGTTAGACCTATGATCACACACGGAGCAGCAGCCTGGTATAGGAAAATCCGACAGATTTCAGTTATCAGTAAACTTTCAGGAATTCAACGAGTAGCTGGAATAGTAATCTCTGGTGCGATAAGCACAACGCCAACTCTAGCAATGGATGTTCTGCTTGGTCTATCTCCTTTGCATTTACAAATAGAGAAAGTGGCTAGAACTACCATTTATAGATTTAAGCAATATGCTCTAAACTGTCCTACAAATGGGCTGCGGAAGACATTATAAGCACTGATACTGTGTTATCAAGGCCGTCAGATTTGGCGGGATCACTATCAGTGATTAATGCTCGATACCAGATTGTACTGCCTGAACGGCAGTCCTGGATCGAAAATGAAAATTCTCTAGTGCAGACAGATATTTGCAGAGAGGGGTGAAGAATTGGGCTGTGCGGTGAAATTTGATAGCGATGTCTATCGAGGTACAAGAGATCCTTAGGGTCGCGGTGCAAGGTTGGTTGGTCCGCCTACCCGATATGTAAACTATGTAATGTTATGTAATATAATACACCAGCAGGGCAAGTCTATTTATCAAAAATTTGTCAGTATGGCCGAATAAAAATCTTCCACAGATCAGTCCATAAGACAAGCGAGCATTGGTCATGACAGCTTTGGACATACATACATAAAACTAAGAGACTCAAGCATGACCGGTGCCGGTTTGGTTAACAGAAACGTAGGTTGCTGGTGCGTAATGTATTTTATTCTACTCAGATCCAAGAGTTGGGTTGGGTTAAATTTGGTTGAGTAATCAATAAATAATAGATTATCTGC